CGCACGTTGAGGAGTGGACTGACGTTAGCAACTGTGTGGCACACGGAAGTCGTCACATGACAGAGGCTGTTTCCCGTACTCCTCGCCGGACGGGAGGATTATGATCTCCGTATTATGTGCAGATCAGCAAGATATCTAGCCAGATATCTTGAACTGCGCCTTCCTTTCAGAATGAGGCCTTCGTCATTGCCAGCTAAAGCACGTTTCTCTGGCAAACTCCGTTGTTAATAGGGAATCATCCAGATAGCTTTCGTATAACTTTGACGGCAAATAGTGAACTACGGTGGTTTCATTCATGAAATGGCTTGGAAGCAAAGACTCTTCTACTCGCGTACGATGTCGAAAGCAGTAGCGAAAGCCAATGCTAATTCTTTGGAGAAGTATGATGAACAGTTGGAATCGAATTTCCACACGACAAACAAGGTGTTCTGGCAGACCATCCGCCAGCTCCGAGGTGAAGAGAAAGGCAGTGGACGCGTGCTCAAGGACAAGTCTGGACACCCTCTTACCGAAGTTGAGGACATTATTCCGCGATAGAAAGAGTACTTTGAGCAGCCGCACGAAAACTCGCCTGTAGAGCAGCAAGGAACGAATAGTTTTTCTATAGATGAAACATACAAGCTGTAAAAAGATTGAAAAATGGCAAGTCTGGTGGAACCGAAGAAGCAGTGGAACACGTGGAAACGTTCGCTACCATTTCGTTGCACTTGGTAATGTTTGCTGCTGTTGGTAAATATGAGGAAGAGTCCAGCGACGAATCGGAATGGCTACCGGCATTCAGTGTCGACTAGCCGGAACGGCTGTGTGTATTGAAGAGCTGAGCCGAAGATGCAACTTTGTATGCTCAGGTCAATTTTGTTTCCCGTAGTCGCTGACGGTCATTAGCCACAGGCCACAACTCAAAGACTGTAGTCTCGGATATACACGACTTGCTTCTGAGGCTAGTTGAGTTTTGTTCACACGTTTGGACATGGGCCGGGGTACGGATTTCTGAAGAACCTTGGTGTGCAAGCGCTGCTTCAATAGATTGAACGGTTACTGTTGCCATGGTTTTGGCACGTTTTGCAAATGCCTCCAGAAAGGATGGTGAGCCTCTTCTTCTTACCCAGCGGACACGTCAGCCGGGGGCAATCAAGAATGACCTGTGGTTAGTTTCTCATCAGTCTCTTCTCCATACTTGGCTTCTCTGTTGCTGACGCGAAAACGCTGGTTTGGGATAGAGAATCTTTGAGACTACATACTGTGCATTTACGTACTCCATGCCTAAAGGTGGTCATTCATTGAAACTGTCTAATTAACTTGCAGCGATATATGGTCTAACCGAACGACCGAGCAACTCATAGTAATATGGATGAATGGTTAGGTGAATGAATTAATCAACGAGTAAATGATTTTGTACTTGAATGAAGTAACCAAGGAAAGAATGTGTGGACAAATGGATTAATGAAGCAATGCAAATAAATGAATGAAATGTTAAACGAGCAAATGAGTGAATATGTCCTTGATGAATATGCGATTTTGACGAAAGCGATTAAATGAACGGTAAATTGAACTGAATTGTGAGTATATCATTGTATTTATCGTAAGAATACTTATCGATGAATGACTGAATTGATGAACGAATAAAATGAGTGTGTAGATGAATGACTTCACGAGTAAATGAACAAATGAATGATCCAACGATGAACAGTTAAACTCCTTGCATGAACGAAAGATTGAACGATTCAGTAGCCGGGTAACGGTTGAGGGGCGGTTGAACATTTCGGAGGATGATTAGACGATCGAATGAAGTCAAATC